TGTGCACACGCGTGTGTGCACATGTATGGTGTGTGCGGCCTGCATGTGTCGTGCACGCGGCGTGCATTGTGTGCTGCACCGACTGTGTATTGTGCGTGGCTGTGCTGGTGCGCTGTGTAACGTGTGTGCTGTGTGTGCTGGGTGCGTTCGGAGTGTATTTTGTGCTGCCTGTGGTTTGTTGCTCTACAGTGTGTTGTGCTGCTGTGTGTGGTGTGTGTGTTCCATGTGACTGACACACACCAGTCTCGGGATGTATCTCCGTGACTCTGGGGGCTGCCTAATTATGACAGAGGGGATTTCTCTGCACCGGACATGGGAAGGGGGGTTCACCCCCAGATGAAACAGTCCCAGGCTTAGAGAAGAAGCCCGCTCCTGTACACAGGACCCACCCGCGCCCTCCTCTATGAAGGGTGCAGTAACATTAGGTTCCTATGGTAGGCCAGTCACTGGTGCATTCCGGCTGCTGGAGAGCAGGAGTGCAGCCCCGTTGCACAAGCTCACGGCTGAGGAAGAGCGTATGCACAAGCAGGGTTGGTGGCGTGGACGTCGTCTTCGCAGCCCAGGCTAGGCAGGTGCAGGTGGAGACGGTTTACACAAGTCAGTGATCTGTCTTAGGCTTTCCCTGGACCACTGGAGCAAAGAAATTGTCAGTGAAGAGAAAGAATTCACTTAGTTGGAAATAATTCATCCTCATTTCCAGGCCCAACTCTACAATTGGATTCAGCCTCTGAAATCTGGGCAAATTGCATGATGTGGTTTCCACTGTGACCTTTGGAATCTGGAATCCGGCCGGTGAGTCTGGATCCACCAGCATGGCCCGGAGGCTTTAGACCATGCTGACCCCAAGGACCCGGCCAGGTCGGCCTGGCGCCCGCTCCTCACCAGCCCTGGCCCTTCCTCTGCCGGCATCCAAGTGGGTGAGGAGCTGCCCATTTCCACCTCTGTCCTGTGCTGTGAGGACCTGGACTGTATCTGCAGGACCCAGGGAAGGCTCTGTGGCAGCTGCCGCGCCTGCAGGCTGTGGTCGCTCAGGAGACAGACCACGTGCCTGCCTCAGTCTTGCTGGACTCTACAGCTGCACTGCGCCCCGGGAGGAGCCGTGTAAACACAGGTGGCCCCAGTGCACACCTGCTGCTGGCAGAGTCTCAAAGCTGACCATAGAACAGGTCACCCAGAGGGACCCCAGGTTGTGCCCCCGTCCCTGGGCGGACAGGAAGGACACCATGTGTTGGGACCCGCTTTGGTGATCACCCTCGGTAGGGTTGGCTGGAAGGAGACCGAATCACTCGGTAAACAGAGAAGAGAGGCGCTTGGACTTAGTAAGCCACTGCGAATGGAAAAAGCACAATTCTCCAGCACAAAGGCTGGGATCCTGGGCTCCAGGTGCTTGCAGAGCGTGGGAGGTCTCGGCGCCCACGAAGCCCAGAAGGGGCTCTCCCTCCCGGAGGTGGTTCACAGGGGAGGGGAAGCCAGGGCGCGTGCCTGCGTGCCACTTGCGTGCTCTCTTCTGGCCCTGCTGCAGTACCCTCCTCCCACAGCGGTGAGAGGGAGGCTTTCCCCGCTAGCAGGTGGTGCAGTTGGCCGGTGGCTGAAGGGCGGCGAGGGCCCTGCCAAGACTTGCAGCTCTGGCTCCGGTTCTCTCCGTCCTGTGCCAACAGTCCCACCAGGGCAGCGGCGGTGTGGTTCGTGGGCCACGACCTGTCCCCGTGGCCACCTCAATTCCTTGTTTTGGGCCCGCTGCTGCTGCTTTCCCTTACCATGTGGGCAGCGGAGACGGACAGTGTGTCCGCAGGTGGTCAGAAGGCATGGCCGTGTGGGAACAGGAAAATGACAGCCTAAGAGGTCACTCGGAAGCCGCTCTACGCATCCACGCCAAAGGGGTCCACGTGAGCTCACGGCAGGCGCGGCCTGGAGGGCAGGGAGGCCGGGAGGTGCTTTGCACCCTAAACCAGGGGAAATCTCGCACGTGCCCAGCGGCAGCTCCCTCACACCCCAGTGCCGTCTCCCAGGCCCTTTCTAGGAGAAACGGCTGCAGAGATTTTCACTGTCACCCACATGGCCAGTGTCAGGGGCACTGGTGTCCCTTTCAGTCTCAATTTGAATGCATCAAGTAATCCAGGAAGACAAGTAACTTTCCTCTCTTTTCTGCCTAAGAGAGGTGAATCTCTCCCTGTCTCCTCCCACAAACAAAGTGCACAGGGCTCTCCAATTCCACCACAGTGTTCTACCTTCGGGTTAGAAAAGGGCCAAAACATGACTCCAAAAAAATACAGATTCTGTCAGGGGGTGAGCACTCCCAAGTCTTTGGAGGCTGAGGTAGGAGGACCGTAACTTCGAGGCCAGCCTGGGAAAGTCAGCAAGATACAGCAAAATAAAAATAAAAAGGAAGTGTCCTGGATTTGAGCCCCAGCTCTGCAAAAGAAAGTTTGCTTCTCTACCTTAGTCCTTTCTCGTCTTCCTGTTCCTAGACATGAATCCAAGAGCTGAAGGCCAGAGATTAGAAACAATCATCAGGATACTTCACTCTGTTGAAGTGAGTGACTGAATTGCCCCATCTTATTGTGTTATTTTTTATACCAACACTCTAAAAAGTTTTTCTGAACCATGGTGAGAGACCCCCTCATCATACCAGTTAAGGTGACTATTATTTTGAAAAGAAACAGAATAAAAGTGTTGGAGAGGACACGGAAACACTGGAAGCCTTGTGCATTGTGAAACCGTAACAGCTACTGTGGAAAACAATATGGAGAAAACAGTTATCCTAGGATCCAGCAAGCCCGTTTCTGGCTTTGTAACCCAAAGAGACTGAAAGCAGGAACTTGAAGAGCTCCTAATAGCACTCTTCACCGTAGCTCCAAAGTAGAAGTAACCAAGTGTACACTGGTAGATGAGTGGGCAAATAAAACGTGGTGTACACGTAGGGTGGATTATCACTCAGCCCTGAAAAAGGAAGGCCATTCTGACCCACACTACATAGTGCAGACATATGAAATGAAATAAGCCAATCACCAAAGGATGAGTAAGGTAAGATTCACCTGAGAGGAGGTCATGTTCCTAGAAACAGGAAGTGGGATGGTGGTTGCCAGGGGTGGGGTGAGAGTCGGAAGTGAAGCATGCTATTTAGCCGGTACAGACTGGCTTTTCCGATTTGCAAGATGAAGGTTTTGTGAAGGATCATGGCGTGTGCCAGCAATGTGAATGTACTTACTGCCACGGAGCCGTACACTTAGAAAGAATAAAAACAATTTTTATTTTTTGTATACCCCCCAGGATGTTTGTTTGCTGACCTCCGGTTCCACCTTCCTAACGCCCCAGGGAGGAGGAGGGGGGCACCCTGGCTTTGACACGGGAGGCAGGCCCGGACCCCGAGACCCGCCGCTCTGCCCTGCCCTGCCCGGCATCCGCTGCCTGTGGCCCTGCGCAGAGTGGAGGTCCCGTGCCGCGCCTGCCCGGCCTCTCCTCCCTCCCCTCCCGGTTCCCAGTTCTCCTCTCCCGGACTGTGGCCTCAGCCACCTCCCCACAGCCACCCGGGCCTCCTGACCCGTCAGGGAGTGTGGCCCGATCTGGCCTCGGTGCCCCTGGCCTCTGGTTTGGGGGTCCTTGTCCAGGCCCCTTCTGTGGTCCGCAGCACCAGGCACAGATTTAGGGGTCCCCGCCCTCATCCCGGAGGCCACCATCCTGTCCCCGCTGCCCCCTTCTCCTGGACGCGCCTCCCGTAGTTGCAGAATCCTTGGGCTCCGCAGCCCAGGCCCTAGGCGGGCGGGTGCAGGCGGGGCACGCGGGCGGCCGAGGCAGGACGCCCAGGAGGGCCCGACAGCCGGCTGGAGCCCCGCTGGAGTCCCCGGGTGCTCGCGGTGGAGCGGGCAGCGCAAGGGCCGGGGCCGGGACAGGGACACGGGGAGGGCACCCGCGGGCCTAGCGGTCCCGACCTGCACCTAGCGCCTGCTCTTCGAGCCCCGTTAGGTGGCGCTCGAGACTTTCCAACCGCTCGTGCGGGCGCTCCTGGCCCGGAACAAAAAGCCGCGTGGGTGCAGTGTGCGCGGGGCGAGCGCGCGGCTGGCGTCGCCTGGCACCACGCGTGGCGGGTCCCGGGCCGGGCGAGGAGGGCCGGGGGCTTGGGCAGTGTGCGCCCGGCTCCGGCTCCCGCTCCTCTCGCCCCAGCCCGGGCCGCGTTCGGGGAGACCCAGGCGGGCGCGGGTTCCTGGCCGCGCGTGCCCGTCCCGCGGAACCCGGGGACCCCGGCGTCGATGCGACCACTGGTTTTGAATCAGGTCCGAACACGCGGCCGCGGAGCGCAGCTGCTCCCTGCCCCAAGTTCACCTCTTCTCCCACCACCTCCAAAAACAAAGTGACTCGGGGGCGCGACCCGCACCCGTCCTCTCCAGGGGCGGAGGGGGCGCCCACGCTCCCCGGACCCGGCCCGCCTCGTGCGCCCCGGCCGCGAACTTTCCCGCGCCGCAGTTCTCCGCACCAAGTGGATCCAACCATGTTTAACGCGAGCGCCGCCCGGTCCCCGTGCCGCGGCCCGGCGTGCGGCGGCGAGCTCGTCTACACCCGGAGAGAACCCGGGCGGGGAGGGTGGGACCGCGGAGGACCCGGCCACAGCCGGAGGGCCGGGGTCGGGCCCGCGCCCCGCGTTCATTTCCATAAGAAAGCGGCCGGAGGCGGGCTCCTCGCGCTCCCGCCCAGCCCCCAGAGCCGGGTCCTGCGAGACGAGACGCGGGCTCCGGGCTCGGCCCTCCGCGCGCGGGGGCGCTTGGCTGGCG